CAAGAATGTGTGCAATTAACACAGAATACTGATTTTTATTTTAGTAAATTGAACACGAACTCAGAAATCATGTGATTATACAGATAGAATAGTAAAATTGAATTTTTTGTAATCCATTTTTTTAGTTTAAAATAGATTTTAAAATTCTTTATTGTTATAAAAAATTTGAATCTGAACAAAAAAAATTTAATTCTCTAAAAATTCTCAAGTTTCCTCTAAACTAGCCTAAGAGTTATGAATAGATTGATTTGCTCCATTATTATGGTCCTCAATATCGGTTGTAGCCAAAGTCTCCACGATCAAAGCTCATCATCAGGGTCTCCTCACCATTTGGGCAAGAATGAAAATTCGTCACCGCATCCTCACTTAAGCAATGTCCGATGTCCTGCTCCTTAGACATTTTATCACTTGGTCTATAATCATTGTCCAAAAAATGTTTAACTAAATTTAAATATAATTCCTTTGGTAATGCTTTCTTGAATGGTAGAACTTTATTGAAAAATTCCCTAGAACTTAAATTGGAAAATCTGATAAATGGAATAAATTGTTGTAAGGTATTCTTCAAAGAATTGAAATCATCTTTCGAATAGCTAGAAGGATCTGAAGAAAGATCTGGATTTTGAGCTAGTGACCATTTAAGAACATGCTCCCAAACTTCAACATCACTCATTGAAAGTTTTTCATTTTGAATAAGAGCAACCAAAAATTTTTCTGGAATTGAAGCAAAATCAACGGACTTGAATATTTTTTCTGGTTCTTTAGACATTATATCGGTACAAAATTTTTGAAGCTCCAAGAAAGAATCATGTTTTAAACTTGTTTGATATATCAAGCTAAAGTGTATCTCCACCCAATTTACTTTATTTTGAATTAAAAATGATTGTATATGGGTGACTAATCCTTGAAGACTTAATTCATTGGCGGCAACCAAGATATTAATAATATCTGCAGTTTCATATTCCTTCAAAGAAAGATTTGCGCCATAAATATGCCTTTAAAAAAAAATTAAAAATTTGTTTGTAAAAAAATCTAAGAATTGTTTCATAAATAAATAAAATTATTATGAATTTAAATTACCTCAAGATTACTTGAAAACTTTCAGGCAAAATATTTGGCAATTTAATATGGACCAAAGTTTCATCGTTTCTCTTTTTATTAGAGGACAAAATTCTTCGCAAATAAGGAGAACGGTAATATAACATCATCATGTGAGCGCGAAATACTTTTACATATGGATCATTTCCAACTTCAATCGTAACATCGTAGAATTCATTTTCCTCTAAACTTTTGAGTAAATTTTGCGATAATTCCAATAAAAACTCATTATCAGCCATTATAATTTGATTTCTTCGTAGGAATGTTGAGAAAAAATTATTAAATTAAAAATTTAATCATGATATTACGCCCACTCTTGACAGCATAATGATGAAGAAAGAGTGCAATAATTAGCATTAGTGACATATATAGTAAACAAAAGTCACATGATACATGACAAAAAAAACCCACGAATGTAAATAATTTGTGATCGCCATATTCTCGTTACAAGTTATTTATTTCCTCGACTAAATTTTAAAAAGTATGCTTAAATGATATCAGAAATTTGTGCTGTGATTACGAAATTTGGGCCTTAATTAGATTAAATGTTAAAATTTAAGCTTCGCAACTTCCTCTTCTCTATATATAAAAAATGCTTTGATCTGAATCTGAATAATTAGTAAAGGTTATAATGAAAAATAAAATTTAAACGTTCCAAAGTATTAAATAATTCAAAAATGTTAAAATTTCTATAAGTTTTACAAAATTTAATAATTCCTTATATAGAACAGCTTCATTATTACAATCTGAGTATTCTTTTTTCTTATAAACATAAAACTCATATCCAATAAATATAATTTCGCATGAAGTTAAATATTTTAAGATAAAATACAGAGACGTTCAGAATAAAGTTTATACACATAAATAAAATTTAAGTTACTGAAGTTGAAAATTTCTTTTATTAAATAAACTGATTCCAATATCAACGATGGATGGTAATTTGTATATTTATAAATCTATTTATTTCATCATATTTTATGCGTGTAAAAAACATTTTATGTATTGGATATATACTTATTAACATTTAGAGAGTAAAAAAAAAAAAAAAATAGAGACAAGAACAAAAAATCAGTTGTTATCATGTTCGTGATGGAATTCAAGTCAATTGAATAAATAACTTTCTCTAGTATATTCTAAAATCCTAATAAAAAGAATATATGCTGTCTACCGTTACTTTGGATGAGTTATGGAATGTGCAAATGGATTTAATTATCTTTAACTGCAACAACATTAGATCCAAAAGATCATTATGGAGAACAAAATATACTAGCTAAAACTTTTGAAAAGTCATACACTACCCTATCAATACATTAAAGTATCCGGTCAAGCTCTTTTTGATTTTTCGAGATCGGATATATTAATTTTTAAAAAATTTTTTAAATAAATGCTCCGGTTCTGACGATTAAAATTTGTAGACAAGGATGACCAACTAAATATTAAAAATTTATAATATTTATAATAAAATATAATTTTTAATTTGATCGACCGGATACTTTGATAGGGTAGTCAATATAAAAATAAAAATTGTATTATTGTAGTTTTAGATAATGGTAATAATAACAAAATCTAAAGTTTATCATTTGTTGTCGATATTTTTTTTAGCATTCAAGAATTACATTATTTTTGGCAACACATTTATAATTTTAATCGGCGACGGAGAATTCTTTTTTAATTTACTACGTGTCGGGGAACAGAACAAAATACAGGGCTTCCAAATTGATATTCAAAATATTCGAAACAATTTTTTTTTAAAAAAAAAAAAAAAGTGCGGTTATAGAAATGATTTCTATTGAAAATCATTTCAAACATCGAAATATCGAAAATGAATATCGAAAATTATAAAATAGAGTTTTAGGGGGCTCTTTCAAAGATCTCTCTCTCTCTCACTTTATTTTTTTATTTTTTTTTTTTAAGGAGCGTTCTTTATCACTTCTGGTCTTAAGGTAAACTTTGCGGAGGGTACTAGCAAACGGAAACCCTAGAACGAGTAGTAATATTATGTGGAAATGTGGAAATTTACTTTATGTTTTCAGGCGATCATCATGTCACGTCTTATGTTACTTTTTCAAACAGTACCAATCAAAAGTGTTCATTATTTATATATATTTTTTTTTTAAAAAATAAATTTATTTTGGCGAATCACGATTGATCATCACTGAATGTTAAATATTTCATTCCTAATTAGTCTAACATGCGGAGTATAAAAATAATTTGATCGCGTGAAAATTACATGATATGACCATGTTGAAAAAATTAAATATCAACGTCAAAAAAAAAAAGCAACTCAAAAGTTTCAATTCAGAAATTTTTATTTTTTTTCAAATGATAATTGGATTAAAAAGTATTTGACTACATATATTACTAGGTAGAGCGAAATTTTGCTTCGACTTTAAGAGGCCAATAAAGTAGACTTATGATACATACTATTTGAAAAAGAACACTTCGTTGAAAATTCCTTTTAAAATAAAACCGATAAAGTGAATTTTTTTTTTTTTTTATTTACAGAATTTGGATATTACATAAAAAAGGTTAATATATCCATAGTATCCATAAAGACAATTTACCGATGTTAACCAATTAGGATTGTCCACATGAAATGATTTTCTTATAATGCATGTAACTATATAATCTAATCATAGCTAAATTCGAATGGTATTTAAACCCGAAATCTATATAACTTTTGAATTAAACATTTAAGTTCATGACTAGCTTGAAACATCCCTAATTGGTCATTCTGTTGCAAAAACCATGATTAATCAGCCAAAAAAGTCTGCATTTATTATGTAATTAGACTTCAAATTATTCATAATAAGTGTTTATGACATTAGTATCGGTCGATATCCGTTATAGTTTAGTTGATCACCATCTAAAACTTTACATAAATACGCATCCTAAATTGTGAATTTTTATTTCTTTACTTACCGAAATAAAAATTGTGAAAAAAAAAAAATAAAATTACAATAAGGAATCATGATACTGACGTCATTGAGCGTATCAGACGTTATAGGAATTATTGTATCGATTATTCTCATTTACGTCGCAAAATTTTATTTCCAATATTTTACACGTACAAACCCTTTGCCAGGGTCTATCCCGTTACCTTTTGTTGGAAATTTATTAGGAATAATTCATTATGGTAAAGGGGATTTTACAGTATGGTACAAGATACTACATGAAAGACATGGTGACATTTTCGAAACATATATCGGTGGTTGCCGAAGGATTGTAATCGCTCGACCGGATTACATCGAAAAGATCATGTCAACTTCCACACAGAGCACTTACACGTTAAGAATGGGTCAAACACCCGCATTTGATGAATTAGGAGTTTCAAAAACAGGGTTGACTTTTAATACACATGTCCCTAATTGGAAATTTAATCGTCAATTCTTTACCAAGGTCATCCTCGCTCCGAGTTTCTCCAAAGAGGTTGTAAATTTGATACCGAAAATTTATGATGAATTAAATGAATATTGGAAGGAAATTGGTGAGGACGTACCAATTGATTTTTCAATTTGGATTAATAAATTCACTACTGAGATCACCTTCCAAATGGTCGTTGGATTAAGAGTAAACGGGTTGAAATCATACTTTAATAGTTTTGTTGAATCATCAAAGAAAAAATTCATTGAGCCAAATCCCATTGATAAAGATATGGAACATTTTCCACAAATTACTAATGAAGGTTTAGAATATCTAGGCTTTTTTCTCGTTGTTCCTGCAATAATCAGACATACTCTCTTAAAAAAGAAGAATGATGCGGCGTTTGAGAATAGAAAGCAAACTTTTGATCTCTTAACAAAGATTATTAATCATCGACGAAAGGAAATTGAGCAGACTTCGATTCACGAAGAATTAAGATATGACATGTTAACATTATTGATCACAACGAATACTGAACGGGAGCTTATCGATCAAAAAAGTGTTGAAGAGGAACATTCCAAACCTTTAACTAATGATCAGATTAGTCAAATTTTACTTGAGGCAATTTCTGGTGGAATTGATACATCCTCGAATGCATTATGTACTGTCGTATATTATTTGGCTCATTACCCTGAGGTATTGGCTCGTTTGCGACAAGAACTAGATACAATCTTTGGTTCCGAGAAAGATCGACAAATCACGATGGAAGACCTTTCGAAAATGCGTTACGCGGAAGCTATATTCTACGAATGTACTCGTTTTGTAAATCCAGCAAAGACATTATTACGAACCTCTACTACAAAAGATATTATAGCCGGTTATGAATGGCCTGCAAACATGTTGATCGAAATATATGCTGAGGGGATTCACATGAACCCAGCTTATTGGAAAGACCCTCATAAATTTAATCCTGATCGATTTATGAAATCCGAAGCATTAAAAAATAAAATATTGACATTTGGAGGTGGAGTTCGGGGCTGTCCAGGAAGAAAGATCGCTTTAATAACAATAAAATTGTTGATATTTTTGATCTATAGAAATTTTGATATCACATTAGTAGACATGAATGTCCCCATGAATTTAAAGTATTCGTTTTTAAATACTTGTACCGAATTAAAGATTAAAGTTAGGCCAAGGATGTCGTAAATAATGATTTTTGCGGTTAAATCAATTAATAGCCAAGAATTTTTTTCGGAAATATAACCCTTCAGTACTGATCTCATCAAAATGAAAAATTTTTTTTTTTTAACGTATTCAAACAATTTTTATTTCGATAAATAATTGAAAGTATCTGAGTTGTGTAAGGTACTATTTAATAATGTAATAGTTTGGAATTTATGTTTACTATGAAACGTTTGAAAGGAATCCTTCGTAATTTTTTGTTCGAAAAAATTTTCAAATCAAAATAAATTTATCTTTCGTAAACTTGATTCATCAATCCTAGATTTAGTCAGCTACGATATGAGAATTTTGATATGTATAGCACTATCACTATAATAAAAACTCTTGAAATTTTAATTACGCGGCAAAGAACTCGTATTCATTTTTTAATTATGATAACACGCACGCGTCAATAATAAAGGTTTTCATCCTAAGTAAAAACATTAAATTATAACCTTACTGTCATCAAGTGTGCTCGAGTTTATAGGGATAATTATCTCATACATGCAAAATGTTTATTACAAATATCAAACGCCCTATATAATAAGTAAAACGATTAATAAAATGAATCATGCTTACAAAAGATTTATTGTTTTATTTTAACTCGGAGACAAATAATTTATCTACATGAAGCATTCATAGTGGTTCGATTTATGAAAGTCGGGTGAATACTTGAACTATTCATCAGTTACCTCATTCTCTCTTGTATATACTTGAGTCCTGACTTAAATCGTACAAACTACGATAATTTTAAAGGTTTCCAATTAATGAACACAAATACAAACATATATGAAAGAAAAAAGAAAGCTTTTTGCAGAATTTTATTTATTATTTTATGCGGAATAGTTTTTTTATTTTTATTTTATTTTTTTTTTTTTTTTTTCAAACCGAACCCGAAACAAGTAAAAAATAATCATTCGATTAGATTATGTTAAAACACATTCAATTTATTTATTTTTTTTTTATTCTTTTATTAAAGCAAGATGCAAATAGAAAGGAACTACACCTTTATGAGTTACTTTTGTAATTTTCTATTTTAACTTTAAAATAAAAAGAAATATTTACTTATAATTTTATTTGATTGGCTGGTTAGTTTTTTGTCCATTTGTATTATTTGTATTTAATCATTCTTATTCTTTCATTCCTTGGTTAATCAAAGATAAAGCTATAAAGAACTTATCTTTTTATAGATGATAGACTGAATTTTTCAAATCTTAATTATAGAGAAAAAATCGTTAATTTTTTTTTTTTTTCATTATAATCATTTTATTCAAAGCAGCCGAAGTCTGAATTCCGAAAAAAATCAAATTTCAGTTACAACAGCGTAACCAAATAAGATCGCTCCAGCCATACTCTCTTTCCATTTACTTTTTACATTATTACATTATAGATAATCGAGACCATCGCCAAAAGATTATTATCCTACACTTTATGTATGTTAAAAACCCTAATAATATAAAAAGCGTTCAAATGCAACTAAAAGTTGTGTAAAAGGATATTGATATATAAATCTTTTGTTAAGTTAGTGAATGGAGGAGGCACGTACTAGAGCCTACGTTTTAGGAAATGGGCCAGTTTCTTTCTTTTTTTTATAGGAAGCATAAGCAATTGATCAGCACCTCAATCACCTAGCCAATAACATTGAGGGAGCGGCCTATAAAATAATTTTTTACATCAATTTCCTCTGACTATAAGGTAAATGAATGTAATATACAAGAGCAAAATTTAAAGAAATGTAAATTTTACGGGCATCATGTATAAACGAGATAGATGGAAACTTTTAATAACAAGCAAGAGATGTAATATGAATCTCATCCATTCAGCATACAAGTAATGAGAGTTCCTTCTTTAAACTGAACAAGGTCTAATATGGTGCTCCAATTCAATCCTTAACAATGATTTTGTGTTAAAACCCTTTGACCTAATTTCATTAGCTTTACCGAGAGGTACATTATGTCAGAATAAGATTTATCGTTTCAGTGTATTAGTAAAGATCTTTTGATAAATGCTGTACCTGTATTGTTTTCATCTCTCTCTCGAACAAGAGTACGTTTTTGTCATTATGAACAAGTGTGTTAACGAAATATTGTTATTTAAAGAATTTTTCAATATAATAATATATATGAAAAATAATCGTATTATTATTGCTTCATATATAATATTCCCTCCTAATAAACATTTTAAATTCAATTTCTCGTCATTCCTTCCATCCTTTATCGAAACAAAAGTTAAAACTTAACATCATGGAGTATTGTTTTGGTCATCACGTTGACAACAAATACTGAAATGACTCATGCGACTTACTAGTCGCATCATCAGTATACAACATCAGCACTTCCGTTATAACCTTTTAAATATAATGAGCGTGATCGGATTAAAGTATTTTGGCATGCTAGTGATTATGGTTACACAATTATAAACTTTAGAAATAAATTGTATGGCGAAATTAGAAATATATGTATTTTCGGTTTTTGACAGTTGCAAAATAGTTTTGATTGCATGATGTAAAGTTGTTTGTTAATTAGGGTATCTTACTACTCAATTTGGAATTGTCTCAAATTCATGAGTTCGATCTATGAAAATCGCCTTATGCAAATCAAGAATCAAGCATAAACCATAGCCGTAACTTCGCTAACTTTGTTAATGGATGAAGAGAATGGTCAAGATATGGAAGAAAAGAGTAAATGTTTGGAAATAGTGAGTAAAGCTGTGATACTTACCGATGCTAAATTTTCTCAATAGGTGGAATTTCATCACAAGCTACTTTCAATTATATCTTCTAATTGATTCTTGAGATTGAGAAATTTCTGTCTACTATTAATGACTTTCAAATTATCCCAAAAATTTGAAAAACTTTTCGTATTAATTAGTAGTTATCATTATCATTATCATCATTATTATTTTTACTATTATTTTGTTTTCATAGCGTCCTTAAATGCATTAACTGAATTTCTTTTTCAATCATAACTATACAGTTCTGGAAGGTATTCGGAAATAGGTGAAAAAGATATGTTAATAAATTTGTTAATTTATCGAGATCATGAATTTAGTGATGAATAAGTATCGTCACACAAAAAGATACCACTTGATCGGTGTTTTTTTTCCAGGAAATCATTTTTTTCTCTGTCTACCTCTACTGTTTATAATCCACTTTTGGGTCTCATATTAATTTTCCCAAAAAGTTAAGTGCTTGTTAAAACAAATGTACGCGCCACAGACACCACTCGTCATGTAAAATAAATAGGTTTGAAATAATTCATTCAATAAAGTAAAGTTAAACCTAGATTTTATTAATCATGCAACCGAAATTATATTATTCTTTATTAAAGGTATATCATAAATTCAAATTTCTTTTAAAAAAAATAAAGTATGTTATATGCTTGAAACCCCTTTGAAAGAAAATATTTTTCACCGACCTTTTTTCCTCAAATTTAAAATTGATAATTAAGAAACGGGTTTTGTTTCTCTAGGCGTTGGTATGGCTACTTGATATACTTGAGTTTTTCTTCTCCTCCTATTACATAAAAGAAAACCACCAACAGAAAGTAAAATGCCAAAAGCTAAAGCACCTAATATTACACCAACTAAAACCACCACATTCGTTGTATTGGATGAATTGTTATTAGTCTCCTTTGGCGCCACCGCATTTTCATTTATATCCGTTGATGATGTTATTGATTTCGTTGTTGTCGAAGGGGATGATATCAAAGAATCTGAAGGAGTATAAAGATTTGTCCATTGATATTCATCTATATTACTTATATCAAGTAAATAAATATCACTTTGAACCTCTTGATAATTATTAAACCCTATTTAGATAAATTTTTTTTTCCGGGTTAACATCATCATAAAAAAAAAAAAAAAAAAAAAAAAAAATTCCAAATTATTTACCAAAAGTGACAACCATGCATTTTCCAATTACATTTGCTTTATGAGAAAACGGAGTTATTTGGGGAACGTTTCCAGATACCTTTGGAATGCGCCATTCCCAACCCTTTACGTTTAATTCATACAACGCATCCGAATTGCTTATATTTGTTCCTCCATAAATTATCACTCTTTGACCATCTAATCCTATATGAATGGGAGTAATTGTTATAGAAAAAAAACTATTTATTATTATTATTATTATTTTAAAAAAAAAAAAAAAAAAAAAAAAAAATGATAGTTACCGAGAACGGCGGAAAAAGAATCTCTATTAGACGGGATTTTTCCACTAGTTGACTATAACGATAATCAAGGTTTAATTTTTATAAATTCACAATTAATATCGATAAACTTCAATAATATTTCTATCAAACAAGACCTACTTGTGTGCTCCATTCGTCATTTATTGTGTCGTATAAATATACCTGTTCTAACGAAAGAGGTTGATCGGATGTATAGCCACCTGACAAAACAAAAAAAAAAATTTCAGAAAATTTCGATGATTTTTCTCGCATCCAGAATCCATCCATTTACTTACCAATGTAGATTATTTTTTGATCCGGTAATAGAGTAGCACCATAATACCCTCTTGGGGTGGGTGCATTAATTGAACTGCCCTGTTCCCACCTCAGGTTAATCGTATCCAATATGATCATATCATTTACATAATCATTATTAAAAATGCCAAAAGTAAACCCACCAAATAAAAACATTTTCCCATTATTATCAACGACGGGAAACAAACTCTTCTTTCGAACCGAATAAATTCCTGTGATTTTCGGTATACTCCAAGAATTACCTTGAGTATCAAAAGTATAAACCACTTCCATTTGTTCAATTTGTTCATTAATTGGTTCTCCCCCATATAAGAATAACGTTTTATTATTTGCCCCTCCTTTAACCGCGCTCGCTCTGAAATGCGGGGGAACTGAATTATTGCTCGTTAAATTCACCCATTTGACATCTTTTATGCTAAACGATACTGATACATCAAGATAAAAAAATTGCTTTCCCGTCATTCCAGATGGATCAGCTGAAACATTATATCCTCCCAAGATGTATAGTTTATCATTGATAAGGGTAGCCGTATGTGACCCCCTCTTTACCGGTTTAAAAGACGTTGATTGCGATTTTACTTCAATTATGATGAAGAATTGAATTGAAATCAAAAATACGAGAAACATTGAAAAATATTTTATCATGATTGAATGACAACCCTTTGTTTAGAGAAATATCCCTTTTTTTTTTTTATTTTTTTTATTTATTTTATTTTTTTATTACAAGGAAAGAAGTCTGAACAATTAAATTTGCCGTTAATTATTTAAAATTATTCACTAGTTGATTTGATTTACTTACCATAAAGGGGGATCAGCTATCCTTATTCTGGGATTTTTGGCATCATGTTTCGAAATGCAACCAAATCGTATGTTTATTTTAATGGAAAGGTTTGTTTAATTCATATTTTTCATATGTAACAATCACAATTTGCAAATATTCATTACGTCATCCTATATCCTGAAGTTAGTGATCAGATGATGATACAGTACATTTTGGTTACAAAAAATAAAAATTTTTTTTATAGCACGTTGCGAACTAAATCGATCAAGTTTTTAAAGGAAAGAAATCTAGACATGATATTGGGAGATTTAAAGGTCAAAAAATCGCGCTCCGTAAATAATCACTTTTTTTTAAAAAAAAAAAAAAAACTGCGGCACAACCGAAAATTTTAATCAGACTTGATTTTTATTGCAGAACATAAACAGTCAATGGTAAATCTTTATTTAAAAAAAAAAGAAATAAAAACAGAGATAAAACGTGGAGCTGAAATGCTACTATTATAAAATTGAGTTTAAAAGATAGGACAAAGTTTAGGACAAAAATCGATCAACAAAGATGAATTTGGCTTTTTTTGATTACAAATTCTTTTTTTTTTTTTTTTTTTTTTTTTTTTTTTTTGAATTGGGAAATGCAAAACGTATGGCGTGAAAGATCTGCCCTCTTTCGTAGGACCAATACGTCATACCTTTCAGGTCCAAGATACGCATCGTACCGGAATCCCTACAAACTCCACACCAAATCTGAATAACAGGCATCTCCCGCAAGCAATTGAACCAGTTTACTTGGAAGAATTTTAGACCTTTCTTCTTATCTATTCACATGAAGGCACAAAAAAGTCACCTGCGCCTCTTTTTTTTTGTTGCTGTTGTTGTGTGTTGTTGTTGTTGCAATGATTAGAATTGGCTCATAGAGAGGGATCTAATAAGCAAAGCCCATCATTGATTTTGACTTTGATTTTGATATTTGATAAATGACTGAACGTCCATTTTGTCAACAAATGATATAGTGAAGATATCCGTCGTTTTATCGTATCCTCATCATTATCACTTTTAAGTTGAAATTTTACGAGCACCTTGATTTTTTTTTGATTTCGATTTTTTCCTAAACCTTTATATATGGTTTTGTAGCATTTGATCATTGTTTCTAGTCAAGTTGACAAATTTATATCTGCTAAACTTAATTTGCCCGATAAAGACATACTCCATGATCATTTGTTTTGGTCGTCGATGTAGGAAAGAGATACTGAAACCGATAATGCATCCGCTTGAAAAGTGAAGGTAGGGTCGTCTTTTACGTCCTGTCGCTATAAAGAAGTTGGGACGCCCATACGCATCTTTTTTTTTTCATCGATAAAGTTAACGGAACGCTCTCATTAAGTATGTCTTCTTTTGAGTAAAAATATTTACTAAAGTTGTAAATTTTTTTACTAAAGTTCAAAAATCCAAGATGTTATCATATTATATATCCCCCATATTTTTTTTTTTTTTTTAAAAAAAAAAAGAGGTTATTGGTCATTTATGCAGACTTCCAAATGGGCTTCCAAATGGGACTATATGGTTATGGGCTGAAGAACTGAATTAGAAAACTCGTAATTGTGAAACATCTCATACAGGAAACCCCTATGACTGAAATCGTGAGAAATCGTGAGAAAATGATGTAATTGATAACTAAGCCCTACAGAAACCTGTTTAAAATCACACGAATAGAAGCATTGAAATGCATAAGGCTTAAACTTTAATCAAGTCATAAAAGGATGGAAAGCGGTTTGTACTATGAATACTGATCGTTGATCCTTCTTTTTGAGAACATCAAGCTTTTTTGATGTATGTATGATTTCCATTCTAATGTTCTAATCTTGATAAGACATTTTTTTTTGTTTCTGTTGATCATTACTCTTTTGTCAATCGTTGATTAAAAAACTATAATACCGGTATTCAAAATAAACTTTTTTTTCACAAGGGATTTGGTTACCCAAAGTAACTACAATAGAAATGTCATAATATTTTTTTTATTTTTGACAATATCTAAAATTTTTCTTTTGATACATAGCCACCTATCATATTCCCAACGTGGTTTTCGTTTATTACGATAAAGGTACATTATTTGAAAACGCCAACATGATCATTGCATTTACCCACTGGTTTTTTTCCTTAGATAATTGACTAAAATATTTCATGTCCGTTGATTCTCCTTTTTTTTTTTTTAATGTTTACATAATAAAGGTTTACTATATATTATCCTTAAAATAATTGTTCTTTATCTAAAAGGTTTAAAATGAATTTATCTAGATAAATAAAAAATAAAAAAAAAAAAAAAAACAGGTGACTGAACGGAACTTTATTTTTCTTATAAATTCGCATTGAAAAATCTCCTCTTAAACTTTCGACAACGAAATTTGTCCAACATTATTTCTTAATCTTATCCTCTTCTTTTTAATGATCAAAAACGTGAAAACGGGTTATCGATGATTTATTTGATCGAAAACATTTTCATTTAAGAACGAATAAATGTGCTGCGGTGTAAAACATAAAAAAAAACGTAAAAACGAAATTAACGAAACGAATTTTAAAAATACACTCATTACCTTTAATGACCAAGAGGAATAACCACTTGTCAGTATACGAATGAGTAGAATACGAAGAACGAATTAAGTATAATACGAAATAAATTTCGATTGACCCACACCGAACGAAATACGAATTCGCTGAAGTCACCCGATTGGAAACAACTCAAAAATATGGATAATCATAAAATCATTAACTCTTTCAAATCATATGCATCAAATCTTTTCTTTTTCGTTTGCTTTTTTTAAGTAAATTCTTATGATTATTTTTTATTATGATTTCTATTTCACTTTCTCTCCGAGTTCGAAAAAAAAAAAAAAAAAAATCTTTCTGCCAATTAATCGAACGTACCCGAACGTTATTTATATTCTTTAATTTGAATAGACGATTGTTACGATGACGTAATTTGTAGGAGTGAATGATACTGTAAATAATTCATAATTTTTCATTCACTTCTTTTTTAATTTTTTGTATTATAATTTTTGTTTAAAAAAGTATTTTAGATAGTATAATTAAATAAATTAATCATACCGTGATTAATCAAATTTTAGAATTTCGTGGTCACGCCACTGAGTTATGTTTCACTTTTGCTAAAAGAAAAATGATTTTTTACGTGAAAATGAAATCCTGTTTGCACGTCGTATAAAATGTATAAAATAAAAAAAATAAAGTTTATTTTTTCTTTGCATTTTGTAAGCGGGTAAGTTAGTTTAATTTTTCGCTCGGCTTGTTCTCTGAATAAGTTTACTGCGGAAATATCAGAGCAGAACGGTTTCCATATATATTTTATAACTTTAGCGAACGTTGTCATTTTTTTCAATTCTGTTTAAAATTGATCGGTCGCATTTTTCGGTCGATTCGTGTTGTACAAATTTATCCAATAAAATTTCGTTATTTTAGATCGCGTATTGAAATTTAGGTCGAACTTTCTTTTATATGTCGCAACGCAAAGAATTACAGCAAGGTATAGTTATAACCATTAAAATATTATTTGGATAAGTTGTCATTTCAAAGCTGGACTTTTGACTTTGTTGAAGAAAAGCAGGTATAAAATTTGATGCTAAAGGTCTTTGTGTTAAAGTTACTAATTCCAAAGGTCTTGGTGTTAAATTTCTTTGCACTAAAGGTGCTGGTTTTAAAGGTCTTTGTTCTAGTGCTAAGGTCTTTGCGCTAAAGGTTTATACACCTTTGAAGTTTGTTTAACTGTTTTTAAGGCTTCGAACGTTTTGAATTTGCTGAGAAGACATGTTTAAAAAATGCGTAAAAAAAAAATGATATTTTCGAAAGTATATGAAAAAAAGATTCCTTAAAATTATTTTATTTTTTTTGATAGTTATTTATTGTTCGCGTTTGATCTAAAATCTAAAAAGATCAGAAATCAGTCGGGACTATTGATAAACAATTAAATGAGGATGTGTTCAGTCACGTGACCCTACAAATTTTTAACGCTGTCACCACCGTTTTTTTTGGACTTGAGATATATTATTAAATGATTAATTTTGTGTTTAAAATTATATAAATATAATGAATAAATATTATTACCGATTATTACAAAAAAAATTTGCTAATAATTAAATCATTTAGTAATTTTAATCTAAATATTGAAATTACATTAATTACATTATCAATTAACCTATATAGCTTTATAATATTAAAATAAGAATTATAAATATTTTAAAAAAAATATTATAATCTTTAGATTTATTTATATATTATTTTTTTAATTAAATAATAAAATATTAAAATTTATATTAAATATTTTTCTTTAAAGTAATTAATGTCAAATCTAAATAAATCATATTTAATATATAAAGTAAAATTTATTTTTTTATATATATATTTTTACTATAAATTTGAAATTCATATTTTATGTTATTAATATAAGCATTTCACAGTAAAAAGTAGAAAATTTAGCAATTATTTATTTGAGTTAATGTTAAATTTAAACTTATTTTATTAAAAAAATCATATTTAGATTATAAAGTAAAAAAATTTTTTTTTAATAATTTCCTCTATATATTTTTTTAGAATTCTAAATTTTTATAAAATATTAATAATTTTACTATTTATAATAATTTAATTTTTAATTATTCTTATATAAAAAAAAATATATTTATTATAAAATTACTATAAAAATATTATCAGTTTTATAATTATACTTTAAATAATTTTATTAATAAATTTTATTTAAATATAGATAATATATAAAGATATATAATTAATTAATAATAATAAATAAATAAATAAATTATATAGCTAATAGCAAGTTATTTAAATAATAAAATAAATCTTATTTAATTGAATAAATAGGTAATTTAAATTTTAAATTTTAAATTTTTATTAAAAATAATTTATTAATTATTTTAATTTAAATATTATTAATTTATTAATTATATTTTATAATATTTTAGGATTAAGAATTATTAATCATAATAAAAAATAAAAAAAATTTTACTAATGTAAAATAATATACATAATTTAAAAATAAATAAATTATTTATTAAAAAAATAAAGATAGTCAATTTTAAAAAATTAAAAAATTAGATAAATTAAAACTAAAAAATTTTAATAAATAAAAAATTAAGTTATATAATTAAGAAGTAATTAATTAAAAAATAAATTATAAAAAATAAATAAAAGATTAAATAAAAAAAATTATAAAAAATAGATTATATAAAAAGTAATATAATTAAAATTATATAATATAAAATATATAATTGTATTACATAAATAATTATAATAAAAATAATGTAAAATCTTATAATATAAAATTATATATATATTTATAAAAAAAGAAATAAAAATAATAAGATAAATATAATAATTAAAAGAAAAATAAAAGCAATCTAAATTTTAAAAAATAACAAGAATAATAAATAATATTAAAACAAAAAAAAAATTAAATTATAATTTATTATGTTAAATAAATAAGAATATTTATTATATAATAAATAAAAAGACTTAAAAAAAATCATTATTATAATAGTATATATATAAAAAAATTGATAAAAAGAAATTATTAAAATCTATATAAACTAAGAAATGGAAACCATTTAAGTCTGAAGCAAAATTTTTTATTTAAATCAATAAATATTAATAAATTAATTTTAATTTTTATTATTTTATTTTTGTTTTTTTATTTTTTTATTTTATTTATTTTATTTACTTATCTTATTATACATGCAGTAAGA